TTTCCTGCTTTAGGTTCCCACAAAGAGACACTGCACCAACTTTGTCAGGTTATCTGACAATGCTAACATCTGATCAAAGGTAACACAGACTATCAGATGCAACTAGGAAAATGCACATCTTTAAAGGGGAGAAAGACTGGCTTTATAGATGTAGAAATTTACACATAAACCCACATCTAACCCCAGGTTTTCTGTCATGTTGCAGACAGTGAAATGGCTAGATTTAGATCAGCACCACATACATGCTCATGCCTCCCAGTCTAGGGCAGTGGCATTCCCAGGATGTAAGAGAAGACCTGGATCACCCCAAGAGGACTGCTCTGGCAGTCAGCAGCCTACAGCAGATGCACACAGGCATCTGGGGGAGACAGACAGGTTGGTTGGTGACGCCACAGCCAACCTTTCTGGTTCCACACAAATAGCTATCAAGTTGCAAAACACACACTCCCTATCTCATTCTTCTGTTGTTTATCTGCACAAAGAAACACAAAACCATATGCAGGCTTTCACTGTCAATATAAGTCATATTATTCTTGTAATTCAATCCAGGTCCAGAGCCCGAGAGCTCCTTCTCCCCCCTTTTTGCTCCCCTCACCGTTTGCCTCTCTCCAACCTTGTTTAGGTTTGAATGCTGTGTCATTAAATTCCAGAGCAGTAAACACTGCAGCCTCTCTAAGCACCCACACAGTGCTTTCTAGCTAAAAATTAAACATGGGGCAATTTCATTCATGCAAGGACTCTGCCTTTTATTTTCCTTTACGTCCAACTTAAAGGATGCTTTTGGCAGATGCATAATGAAGGGGAAAAAAAAAAAATGTTTGCTCTCTGCTTCCTCCCTGCACTCCCCCCATTTCCACTCCCACCCATCAGCCATAAAACAACACAGCCCAGCCAGATCCCAAACTGAAAGCAAGACAAAGCACCCACACAACCCCCACTTCCATTCAGCAGAAATGGGCCGCTCCAGGGTAGCCCAGGATCTACAAGTAGGCCAGACTGGAATAAACAGAGTAAACAAAGGGTATCCTGTCCAAGCTGAGAGGGGCTAAAGAGAGGGATGCCTTTCATTAACATGCAAGGCAGGGATGCAAGCACACAGACAGTCAAAAGCATCACTGGAGCTTGCTAGGAGTAATAGGAAGAAAGCAGCACATGATCATGCCACTACTGAAAGGACCCAAAGCACATCATCACTCAGCTGCACATCCCACCTAGCAAGGACCAAAACAACCCACACACCCACCACCACCCCAGAACATCAGGGCAGCCCCAAAGCTGCTGCAGCACAGTGGGGCTCTCCAGGAGGCTGAGCAGGGAGCAGTGCACACAGGTACAGTACCAGGCAGCCAGGGCCGTGCAAATGTCAGAGCCAATGACATTTAAAACAGCATAGCTGTCATTTTAGGAAAGGAATGGGAAAGGGGGAGAAAAGCACAGCACAGCCACAGCAACAGGTCAAGTGTTTGCCAGAGAGAAAGGGGGATGCAAATTTGTGGCTTCTCAGTTTTCAGGGCATTTGTCACATAATAAAATAATTAGCCCGGGAATTGATAAAAGAGTTTGGGTTTAGTTTTTCTGCAACCTGCTGCTATAAAGTCCATAGAGATCCACGTGTGAAAGTCCATGCTGTGTATACCCCTGTGTCAACCATTACACAGCTATCAGAAACAACCCTCATGTTTTTCCAGACTCATAGGAAAAATGCAGCACATGGAGAGGTGAGCAAACAGTCAGGAATTTGTAGCAAAACAGCAGCCTGTCGGCTGCAAGTCTGCTCAGTTATTGGAAAAAATGGAACATGCTGCTTTTTTTAAGCAGCCTAATCATATTTACTATTACATCAGACTTACCCACCACAAATTGTTCTCATGCAATGGAAGAATTTTTAATCTAATATGTTGGACTCAGATAATTTCCCAGCTGCAGAACTGCAATAATTTCCTATCTTTCCGTTGTTGAGATAAGCCGATTAACTTGGATATGTTTTAGTTTCAGAGTGTGATTATCTCCCTTTATTTTACTTGAGAGAGAAGGGTGACTTACAGTAAAATAACTTTGTTTTCCCCAAGCCAGCTCTTAAATGCTCCTTTTCTGAGATGGAGATAAGTCTTTTCTGTTGTATTTTCCTTAGCCCCTTACTTTCCACACTTCCTCTCTCAGAGACACTACATTAACAGCTACTATTATTTTACTCAAAGAAAATACACTGTTCAAGAAATCAATGAAATAATTCTTAAAAACAAATAAAAATCTCATTAACAAAATATTTTCTTGTTTAGAATACCTTTGAAAGTTTATTGAATACCCCACAACCCAGCACTACTGGTAAAATCCTGCTTCCAACTGTTCCTTTGTTTTCAGGCACATTTAAAGAAGAAGAATTGCAAAAAAGAGGATGAGGCCTGAAGCTCTGATGACATGCACAGTACAGCAAAACAGGAAACTCCATTTATTTCAGTAGAAGTGATTTAGACCCAAGTAAGGGAGAACACAAGCAAACCCTTGAATTTATACCATTACAAATTGCAAAATACTGCTTACACAATCTTGGTGAGATTTTTTTTGACATTTAATGTTTTTTCTTGAATTCCCAGGTCATAGATTTACTCTATTATGTCAAAGGGACTTCCTCTCCTGCTTTATTTCTTTTCCTTGCATTTCTAGCAAACATATTCTAGGAGAAAAGCCTGAATCCATAAGATTACACTCTTTGGACTGCAAGGCTGCATATGTTGAAGCCTCTTGATTTCCTTTTATCTTCCAGATCTCACTTGTGTTTAGGGCTTTTCAACCTGTGTTAATTTGCAGACCAAATTCAACACTGGAAATGTATGAATTACACATATGCAGATTCCCATACGGCACATATCAATTCATTCCTCTTAGTCACCATTCATTAATTCCTTTGAAATAAATGTTCATGGTTGAAAAGCACGAGTTTGATGATTTAATGGGAGTGTGGCTCATGTGTTTTCCCTGCACAAGATTAGCAATACTAAGAAAGAAACAGCCTGTTTAAAGGGAGACTCTCCAAACAGCTATTTTGGTGGAATGGTTGCATAAACATGGAAGGTCAAGAACTTCTTAATGTTATATATGAAGCAACAGAACAAAAATGAACATTTTATTACTTCTTATTACACAAAAAAAAAGTATATAAAGTAAACCCAACCCCAAGAAGCCATTATTCATGCACAGCAGTGTCCCTCACAGCCAAGCCCCTAAAACCATCCCTGTTTCCAGTAAGGTGATGGGCAAGCCCTGGTTCTCACCTGTGGGAAAGACAAAGTGGACAATGTCCTCTACTGGCTGCAGTGAGGGCATTTGCATCCCTGAGAATGCTCTCCTAGATGAGAACCTGCAGTATAAAGGCAGGGCTCCCATTACTGGCTCATTGCTATGGGCACTATTCTAGGAAAGCAGATCCAGAAAAAATGGCAAAATACACGAGAGGAGGAAGAAAAGTCACCAAGATCCTGGGCTCCTCCCTGCCCATTCCTACTGGCAGTGAAAGCATGGTGTAGAAGATGGGTGGTGAAATGCCAGAGGGCTGGACATGCAGCCTGGCAGTGCTTGTGGCTTTGCACCACTTGGCTCCAAATCAGTTATTTCTCGGTATCCCAAGATACAATTTCTCAGCTACCTTTAATTTCTTTTTCTTTGTAAAATGTAGTAAAATCAAGGTTAACTTAAATCAGGCTAATGCAAAAGAGTTAACTTAATGAATGCTATTCTAGTCATGAAATTTGCCTAAGAGATCATATGATCCTTTTGGGTCAAAACCTTTACACTTCTATGCTGGCACAGGGCACTCTTATCTAAAACATACCAAAATAACTTAGTCTCTAGGCACCTTTACCTAACAGCAAGTGTTAGCAGGTAACTAATGACATCTGGATTTCACCACGAAGGAGCTACAGAATGAGGGGCTTTCTGCCACCCAGCTGAATTGAAACCCTAAGAGTGATGGTGAACAGGTCAGCATCCCATACCACCAGAATCCCTTGAAAGTTAAAGTCACCCTGCCAATTTCAGTTCAAATTAATCTAGAGAGGATTAAGTCTACCTTTTATGCTATTTTCTAAATGAAATCAGATGTGCATGTAAAACTGGCATTTAAAAGGGTTTTACCTAATAATGAGTCAGGTATTGACAGAACAATCACCATGAAGACCAAGGTAAGAGGCAATATATTCTCATTAATAATTCAAATCTCAGCATGGATATCGATGACCATGCACTTAACAGGGAAAACTGGGCAGTAGCTGGAGCTGGTCCAGATTTCCTGAAAAGTTGTTGGGCTGCAACAGAGACACATAGGAGAGATTTTACTGCAAGATTCAACGAGAGAAATGGCAGCTCCTCATTACTAAGGTATCTTGGACCCTCAGCAATACCACCAAAATGGAACAAGGAACAAAACACAGCATTAGCAGTCTATTGAAAGAGGATGGGTGAGAAAAATAAGGGAATAAAGTTTGGAAGCAAAATGCCACCACTTCCTCTTCTTCATAGCCCTAATATTTGGAGCACAGAGCAACAACATTCAGCAGTACCTAATTCCAGTTACTACTTGGGAGCAAGCAACATTAAAGGCTTGAAAATAAATGCGTACAACCGGCAAAAGTGCAAACAAACAGAACGGTTGTAGGAGCCAAAACCACTCAGGTCAAACCAGTTGGGGCTAGTTAACATAATCTGCTCTATTCACATAACTAAGTTTGTTTCACTGAGGGCATGAACTTTCTTGGAAAAGCTCATGTAATTAACTGCAGGAGTTTACACATTTTCTTTCCCTCAAGTTTACTTTACCCAGAATTAGAGCTGCTTACACACAACTGCTTCTACCAATTCATTCAAAAAGCTGAGTTTTGCTTGTCCTTTCCAGAGGGATGTGTCTGAAGAGGTGGTGCCAGTGAACTGTAGGATTCCCTTCAATTCCTCCTGCCTCCTATCCACTCTTCCCATCACTTTGATTGATACAGAAAAACGTATCCTACCTCACAGAAAAAGAGCAGGTTTCCAATGAAGGGAAGAGGTGGAGGATGTTGGATCCCTACTCCGCTCAGTTTGGAGAATGCAGATGTGGAGTACCTGGAAAAAGGAAAGGTAGGAAGTTAGTTTTGGATCTTGTCACAATAGGACTTGACACAGTAATTAGCTCAGGTGACTTCCCTGGATTCAGAGAGGGAGGAGAAGCTTTCTGTGCTGGTCAGACAGAACTGCCAGTGTCATTACATTGCTTGGCAGCTCCTCGGGTCACAAGAGTGAACGCAATGCACTGGTGCTTCAGAGAGGGCAGAAGGACCAAGTGACTCAAACACAAGCCTGCAAAATTGAGCAGTGGAATGAGAGCACTGCTCCTCTTCCCACAGAGGGTCTTCTAAGTCAGAAGTGACTCTCCAAAGCTGCATGAGGCTACAAATGAGACCAAAAGAAGCGTTTGGGGCTTGACTACTGCGGCACTGTTGGGAAAGGAACTAGACAGATTTTCACATTATTTTCTTCTTCCATCACCTCTACCTATACAAATCACAGAACAAAAATTCAAACCAGTCTCAGTTGTCCATGAGCCAAGACACTGTCAGTATATTCAAGTCAAACCTAGTATTTGGGTCAGATATGCTGATTAAGTGATTTTTTTAGAGCTGCCAGTCAGCAAATTAAACAAATATGAAAAATACAGAGAAACAAAACCCAGACTGAAAAGATTCATGCATCCCTTGTTACAGATGAAACTGTGGCATGTTGACAGGGACAATACTGGAAAAAAGGAAAAAGAAAACCCCAACCCCAGAGCCTCTCTTTTTCCTCCCCACCCCCTTTCTTAATACAAACAATGGATTTAAGTCAATGGACTTCAATTAGTGAAACCTGAAAGAGCAGGAGCTAGCAGCAGCAGCTTTGATTACCCAAAGACACAACATTCATTGCGCAGATCTGTTTGCTGAAATTTCCTGCAGCACAGTACTTATTTTCTTAATAGATTTTCTTTTGTGAAGGTATTTTACAAAAATCGTAATTAGGAGATAGAGGTTTAATCATTTTTAAATAGCAACCATTTTCTTTTTTTATGGGGTAGGACAAACCTTCACAAACACAAACTCCCCCACAAATCCAATAGAAATGATGTGTATTCAGTCTATGCAAGGACACTGTGTCAAGTATGACAAGGCATCATGGAGTAAAGGCACAGAAGTCAACATTTATTACACATTTTATACATATTATTGATTTCTTGGCTACTTAACTGCTTTAAAAAATATGAGATTTTCCTCAGCTAATACTCTTGGGAAAAGAAATGTTTTAACTTTAAAATGACAAAACAGCCTACATGATACATTTTCATCCCCAACGAGAGGAATTTTTTTTTGCTGCTGCTGCTGTTTGAAATCTTCCTGAAGTGTCTTTGTGTGATGGCAAAGTCCTCATCTTCAGTATGTAAACAGTGAAAAAGATTAAAATCCCTGTCATTGAAAACCTGTCAATTTTGCAGTATTCTATCCTGATGTTTTCACTGTAAAATACATGGCAGATCACAAAACACCAGGCTACAGTTACCTGCTCATTTCACCACACACCAGACAGTCTGCAGACTCCTGATTTTCATGTACAGCAAAGTAAAGAGTGACTGCAACAGAGGCTTACACTAGACAAAGTAAATGATGTGATCACCAAATCTTTTAAAAGGAAAAAAAAATAATGAGTGCCATTTCACAAGGAAAGAAACACAGAGACTGTGAAGACTATTTATACTTAGATGAACAGTTCATCATTGTCAGCTTCTGAACATTACTGGCAGCTTCATACAGCTGAGGATATGCTTTCCTTTCCCCCCTCCTAATGTGGTTTTCTCCACTGCTTTTTATTCAGTTACATTTGAAGCAGGTTTTAGAAAGGTAGGGAACAGCAGTTTACAATGAGATGGGAGAGAGTAGCAGTGTCATCAAGTTACAGACTGGAATGTAACAACAAAAGGGTGAAGCCAGCAGGAGAAAAAAAGAATCTCATCAATAAACATATTTAGCTCTACTCTGTGATTTTACAACATTTCCAGTGTTGTTGAAACACCTGATGCTTCAGAGAAAAGACAACAGGGTGCAAGTGACCAAAATCTGATGGGGCAGCAGGCACAAAGGAAGGATCTAACACTGCACATGTAGCCTTAACTTTGACCATTTCTAATGCAACAGCTTAATTTCTGCAGCCTTAAATATTAAAAGCTTTCCCCCATCTCTGCAATATTTCAGCTCCTTCTCAATATTTTGGGTGGGGGAGAGAGAGAGAGGAAAGAGTGGCTTATAGACTTCTTCAAAAAAAAGAAGAAAAATCGTCCTGTACAACAACACACAGTGAACACCAGCAATACATGAATCTGACAGCTTTGTGGCACAAACCTCTGCCTTTTGAGCCAGAAGAGGCTGATAGCTCAAACAGGCCAATTAATGTGGTTTGGTCACTCAGCACCTCCATGGTACACCCTCGGGCAGTAACTGAGAGCTGCATCCTAAGGGCACTGGGAAAACACTGTCCAGGTTTTATTGCTGGGATGGGAAGGTGGGCTAGAAACTGGGCAAGTGCAAAAAGGCAGGGTGGCATTGTAGGAAAAGCCATTTGTCTGGAGAAGCTGTACATGTAAATCAAACAGCTCCAGGCCTGCCTTATCACCAGGGGCCAGTTCTCACTCTGTCACTTAATACACTTCCACATTTTCACAAAAACTCATCTGGTATCAGGACCCCCCTGCTGTTGCTGTGGGTACACACTGACAGTGGAACCTCAGCCAATGGACTAGAAAGGTCAAATCAAATGCAAAATCTAGAAATAGAAGAGATACTAAGAGGTGACCAAGATAACCAAAGATATGGAACCACTTCTGTACAAGAAATAAGCTAACAGGCTATAATCTTAATTATGGGGAGAAAAGCAACCTATGCAGGTTATGACAAATATATTTAATATCATGCAAGGCTTAAAAAATAAATAAACAGCTATTACCCAAAAATTTAAAATAAAGTATGAAAATCCAAAAATTAATATTCAGGCAGCAGGATTAAAAAATAAACACTTTTCCAATAAATAAATACACTATTTATGGAACTCCTTACCACTGATGATGGTACTACTACCATCTACTCCAGAAGTGTAAAAAGCTTCAAAAGGTGATAGAATAAACTAATGAAGGTGGAGGGAGGGAATTCACAGGCACTTTAAGCTAGTAAATTTATCAAATGTAAGAGAAATACGTGGAAAACATTAAAGGAAAGGGAAGGAAATTCGTCAAACTTACTTATTTAATGAGGGAACTAGTCTGTAAGCTTCTAATTGCATAAGTGATTAGACTTTTATAAAACCTAAAAGATAAAACCCCAGACACTTCAGCTTTCTTAAGAGGAAGAGAGGAAGGAGTCTATGAGAAGTGAGGGGCATGAAAAGGATAAAACTCTGATGGCAGCAACATTTATTGGACAATCTAGTGCATTCTCACTCAAAAGAGAAATGTACCCTAATATTTACACAAGTACAGCTTCCTGCACAACCCTAATTTTAAAGCTTGGTATTACATTTTGAATTAAGTGACAAGACATCAAAAAGAACCAGAGGAACATCAGCAATGAAGTAGATCAATAAACAATTCAGAAACCCTTTGAAGACATTCAAATGGCCTCCGAGAGCAAAATGCTCTCTGTATATATTAAACACAACTGCTAAAAGGAAGTTAGCATGCCAAATTAATTCCTGTAGGCCAACATGGCAGATAGAAACTCTCAAAAATACAAACTTCTCTCCATAAAACACCATTCAAAAAAAAATTAAAAAAAAAAATAAAAAGAAAGAAACAGATAAGTTGTGAAGGATATATAACCAAGAGAACTACCCATCTGTCCAGCCAGGTCAGTACTGACAGAAAAATACAATGCTGTCTACCATTAAGGGTGATCGATTTGTGTAGCAGACACGATTACAGAGTTTCCAGTTCTGCACCGTGGAGTTCAACATCCTGTTGAAATTACCCCAAATTTCTCCCAATATAGAAAGTGCATCATTCCTTCCACATCTAAGTAATACACAACCTAATAACATCTAAAAAGCTATAAACTGGGACACAGAGATGTTATTTAATCTCATTGTTGAGAATTGGGAGCTGTGTTATTTTGCAAGACTGGGAAAACAAAGTATTTTGCTGAGATAATGGAAATCATTCCTGCCAAACGAGAGAAATCACCAAGCATTTTTACCTATTTGCCTCTATTTACTTATTCCCATACCAGATCCCAGTTAACACTGGGATGTATTTTGCTCACAAAGTAGTGATAAAACACAAAATAAAGGTAGCTTCCCCAGCATTACAATGATGGGTTGTGAAAAAAAATATATTCAAAATATACAAGCATCTCTGGGAGCCCAATCTCACCAAAACATCATCCCAAAGCTGGCTACAGACTTTCAGCTCTCAGCCCTCTCTGGGAAATTCTGCATTATGAATACTGCAGCAGGGTCACTGGAGAGCTGCCATCACATAAGTCTTCCTTCTCGTCTGCTCCTCAGAATATTTAAAGTAGAAAATCATTATCAGGTCCCTTTCTGACAAAGGAACACACACAAAACAGGTCGTGCAAGTGGGTGAGTGCTGCAGCCAAAGTGACACCATCCCAGAACGATACAGCCTGTGCTGATTATTACCTCCAGAAAGTGTAGTCACTGCAAGAAAAACCAAAACCAAACCACAAAATTAAATCAGCTGTCCATCCCCAAAAGACAGTCTCCCAGAAAACAGAAGAGAGAAAAATGGGGAAGGTAAATCCCTCTTTTTTAGTCAACACAGGCTGCTAAATTGCCCTTCAATTACCAGCAATACCTCTGGTGGAAAAGGAGGGATTTGTTGAACAAAAATACACTTGGATGTGTAGAATATCAAGCTCAGAGAATGGAATTATTACCACACCTCCAAAAAGAAATACTGAACATCCACAAGTGTGCCTCTAAGAATGAGCTGAAATTCATCTTCAAGAGACACTTTAGTCAGTTTGGGATAAGGAAATTTGAGTACTGCTATTTGATTTTCAAGCTCAACAAATCTGTACTTTTTAACC